CCCTGGAGAGGGCGAGTCTCGGGGTACGTGGGGAGGAGTGTGGCGCTGGGTGCCTCTCACTCCCTGCAGCCTCAACGACTATTTGATCAATTCAAGGTCAACGGCAGATCAGGTGTTGGAATAGGAACCGAGCCTCCTAAAATCAACGGTAGCCCCATTCACAGTGGAAGTTAAAGAAACGCATGCCCGGCCCACGCCCGACCCACGCCTCTTGGGAGGACGGATGGCTCTGTGACGGAAATGTGCTAGTTGCCTGAGACTGCTGGCCGGAGCGGGAGACAGACATGCAGGCCTCCCTTTTGACTTCTGTTTTCCACCCACCGGCGGCCTGCAGTTCCGAGAGCTCACGGCCTGAAGCATGCGTAATGCCCGCGCACAGTTTCCCCTGAAGGCGGCACAGCTTTGCAGGATGAAAATTGCCCGTGGATTTGAGGGCATCTGACAGGGCAGGCCCTGCATCTTCCTGGGGTTCGTTTGTTGTGAATCTAGATTGGAGGCAATGCCCTCTGTGAGGGACAGTGCCGTGTAATGTATGTGCTTCAGGAAGAGACGGATCAGAGAGGGAGTATTTCTCTTGCTGAGATATGAACCGTAGCGCTCAAGTGCCTGTAACAGCCCCGCAGAAACCGCGCATTGCTTGATACACACTTGCTGTAGCTGTGCAGGTGTGGTAGGTGTGGCTAATACCCACACCTCTGAACACTGCCAGGCGCTCTTCATCTATAACAAACCAAAGCCGTTTTCAGTGTTTTGTTGTGCGTGTAACAACTGCTCATGAGAGCAAACTGAGAACTAAAGAACCAACACAGTTACACATTCACCGTCCCGCTGCCACGTGTAATCCCTGTGAGCCGTGCGTGCACACACTGCCAGTGTGGGGGGCGCATCCAGTCCATCTGTCAGTCCGCCCGCCCAGACACGCCCACCCTGCAGGCTGCCGCTGGCAATCAACATGAACGCAGCTGTTACATCTTGCACCCACATTTTAAGGATCTATTTTTTTAATGACTCTGCCTTTCCAGCACACTTTGCTATTTCCAGGTTGTGATGGGTATGACTGATGGTTTGCAATTATCACAGCCACGCAGAAACTATATCTGAATATTTGAGAGGCCTTGCCATCGCAGAGAAGCTTTCTACATGATCGATTTTGTAATTTATCGCCGTCTAAGTGATATGGTTCTCTAGACAGACAGGCAAGAGCTCAAGTGGCACTTCTCTTCAGCGCGTTGAAAAGTTCTCATGGAACTCCTCAGATGCTGCTTACAACAGTGACCATCTAGACATAGTGTTTGTAATCTGTAACGTGTTAGACAAGAGAGAAGTGTGATAAAGATTCTCACTGAATCCTGTACTCTACATTCGTAAACGCCCACTGTCGTCTGCCGGGCACGCCCACTTGTCCCTTGGGGACATTATTCATCCTGGACAGTGGTCGTCCGGCCAGAGTAACCAGCGTTCAAGTTGCATTGAACGTAACCTCACTAACCTTTTCTCTCAGACACCGTCTGCTGGGCCAGTCTAAGTTTTTCCCAAGACATTCTGATCGGGGCTGAGCAGGGTCGGGCTCCCTGTGAGAAGCCGGGGATGCGACATGAACAGGGAGGTGGCCATGTCGCTGGGCTTGTCAGGAAAAACAGTGCACGGGGCTGGAGAACAGAACCAGCCCACAGGAAGCAGCGGGAGTCTCCCTGCACCTGTGCCTGAGGTCCGCTACACCCCTGCCCCCTGCAGGGGCGACTTCAGCCCTTCCTGAGCCCCTGTGAGTCCCCGACGCCTAAATTGCTTTGAGTTGGGCCCTCGTCACTTGCAATTAAGGAAGCCAACCGTTACCAAAAGGCACCGACTTCCAGTTGTGAAGTGAGAATGCCACGGAGATGAAGTGCACAGCGTTAGTAGTGCTGCGTGGCGTTTTTGAAAGTTGCTAAGTGAGCGGATCATAAAAGTTCTCATCTCGAGAAAAAAAACATTTTTGGCGGTAACTGTGTAAGGTAAGGGGTGTTAGCTAGACTTATTGTGGTGATTATTTTGCCATGGATACAAATATCGAATCATTATGACATACAACTGAGACTAATAGGATGCTATATGTCAATCATACCTCAATTTCAGATAAATGTGACTTTTTTCTCCTCGTTAGCATCTCCATCCTAAGTAGAAGCAGACCTACCTTTTTCCTTTTTAACATGGTTAAGGCCATATCTATTACTCCTTTTTAAATTTTTTTAATTGAATTTAGAGAATGGAGAAAGGAGAGAGAGAGAGAGAGAGAGAGAGAGAGAGAGAGAGAGAGAGACAGACATCAATGTGAGAATGAAACGTTGACCGGTTACCTCCCGCATGCACCCTGGCCAGGGATCAAACCCACAACTTGGGTATGTGCCCCGACTGGGAATCAAACCCCCAACTGTCCCCTGCACAAAATGAAGTGCCAACCAACTGAGCCACACTGGCTGGGCAAGACCATATATTTTTAATTTTAATTTTTTTTATTTTATTGTTTAATGTATTACAAATAGTAATACATATATCTCCTTTTTTATCCTCCCAATGACCTCCCCCCCCACCTCCCTTTTTTATTTATTGTTTAAGGTATTACAAATAGTAGTACATATGTCTCCTTTTTTCCCCCTATTGACCTCCCCCCAGTCTCCCCTACCTCCCGGTACTTGCCCTCACCACCCCGCACTCCAGTGTCTTGCATCTATTGGTTGTGCTTATATGCATGCATACAAGTCCTTCGGTTGATCTCTTACCACCCACCCCTCCCCTAAAAGACCATATCACTTTATGACCTCTTTTTTTAAATGGCTAGCATAAACTACAATCAGTGTATTCAACTATTTTATACTCTTTATTATAGGTAGCACAGGTGTGCCACCTGGTAGTTTTCATGAGCAGCTGCCTTAGTAGCAGTGCGCAGCGGTCATCGGCATGGGCCTGGGGCAGTGTCCTTGTGTGCGTCCTCTGTGCCGCGCCAGGGTATGCAGAGAGGTCCCGGGAAGCATGCGGCTCACATTTCAAATAGGACCAGGTCTTATTTATTGGTCTGTTTTAGAAAGTTGTTTCTAACTTGAGGGAACGTCATTTGGACATAATTCTTATATTAGAATCTTGGTTGCAAGTGACGGATGCCCAACTCAGCCAAGTGCAGTAGTTGCGTATTGTAAGAGTCTGGGGTGTCCTGTGACCCCTGAAGAGGATGAGCCCGGCTTCAGGGAAAACGTGGAGCAGAGGCTAAATGCCTAGAAGACTCCACAGCTCGTGGCTGGTCCTCCCCGACACCTACCGCGGGTTCCTCTCTGCAGCCAGGCCTCCCGCGGCCCCATCTGTCCACGATGGGAAAATTTCCATCGACAGCGCAGATCTCTCAAAACTAAAAAGAAGCGGATCTCTCTGTGCCCCAAATCCATCAGTTCATAAGAGCGCTCCGAGGGCCCCGGCTCGGGTACCGACAGGACCAGTGGACACAGGTGGCCCTTCCTGAGCCAGCTGTGTCTGCAGAGGGGACAGAGGCCATGCCAGGCCGGGCCCAGTGCCCCTGTTGCCAGGCGTCATGTGCACAGTGAGTGAGCTCAGGTAGCCAGCTGGATTGGGGGTGGAGGGCGCTTGAGAGCATCAACAGATAGGAATAAGGTTCCAATACAGTTTTCCTAAACTAGGATATTACAATGAGAACTCTCTCTCTATATATATGTAATAAAAGTGTAATGTGCTAATTAGACCAGACAGCCAAATGACCTTCCAGACGTCCTTCCAGACAACCTTCCAGACAACCTTCTGGACAAAGCCAGGCTGTGAGGGCCAAGCCCCTTGCACGAATTTTTGCATCAGGCTTCATATATATATATATATGAGCCTGTGTCCTGGTCTATATATATATAGTTATAGTTATATATATAGTTATATATATATATAGCTACACTAGAGAGAGAATCATTGATCAGCTGCCTCCTGTACACTCAACACTGGGGATCAAGCCTGCAACCCCAACATGTGCCCTTGGCCAGAATCGAACCCTGGGACCCTTCAGTCTGCAGGGTTGACGCTCTGTCCACTGAGCCAAAGCAGCTAGGGCATAGTGAGGAATCTTGAAAAGCAAATCTAACTCTTGAATGTAAATGTAATATGAGCCTGTGTCCTGGTCTATGAAAGGTCAGTAAGTGTGGCCATTGTTACCACAGTTTCGGTGTTTACTGTGCCTGGAACGTTTTCATGGTACAGACTTTTCTCAGTTTACGTTAAAAGGTACTGAACAATAAACACAAAATCTGTTGGTTTATCGGAGCTCAGTTACCACAACATTTAACTATTTAATAAAAAAAGATAAAACATAGCTATTCCAGGCATAGTTCCCCCTAAATTGAATAGATTCATTTAGAAGACCAAAAAAAGACACACTTATTGGATTCAGGGTCCTTGTTGGGGCGCCTCCAGCATTTGAATGGCATCTTAACCCTGGAGATGTTTTTATGTGGCTGCCGCTTCATTATAGAAAGTGATTTAGAATCCACTTTACGAGCCACGCTGCTGAGCAGGCTTCAGGCACGACGGCTCTCGGGCACGGCAGTGCACACCTTTCGCCGGGTCGAGCCTCCATAAACTAAATCATGGAGTACTTACAGCCGCCCATTTTTCCTGTCAGGAGCTATGGGCATGTAAAATGCACTTATGATTGATCGTAGGGCACACAGAGTTTAAAGCCCGCATTCTTAAAGTTCGCCTGGTTAACCTTGGACCAGACTATAACACAGAGCTTTGGAATTAGAAGCACAGAGCGGTAACATTTGCTGCCAAAAGAGCTATATTTATTAACTCAGCGGAGCTATAAGGAGAAGGATGTGAAAGGCAGAACACCGTATTTCATCTTGAGAATGGTTTTTGATCTTCATCAGCAGAGGTCTCACAAAGCCACTTGCCTTTTTCTTTTTCTTTTTTTTTTTTTACGGGACATGCTAATCAATCCTATAAAAACTGAAAGGTTATGAATTTTTTATCACCACATTGTGGCTTTCAAGTTAACCGTAAATATTTATAAATCCCCTCTTCCCAATACGTGTAAAGGTAGGAGAATTGACAACAGGATCGTTTGGACCTGTCTTTTTTTAAAAAAAAAATGCTTAAGATTTTGCAGAACATCGTTTCATCGTGTATCCCAAAGCGGGGAGTGGGGGAGGGGGGGAGGACGTGTCTCAAACTGTAGATATTTTTTTGGAGTGGGGAGACATTTCCAAGCCGCTGTGGCTAGAAATAAGGACTTTGAATGTTAGTGGTTTTGTAGAATTTATAAAAACACCAACTGGAGGCAATTTAAATGTAGCCTCATCGTCCCCAGCCTTTGAATCTGAGCAAACGCTGAGAGATGCTAGACTCTTCCGTGAATAAAAAAACGTTTCATCTCACAAGAAGTAGAACCGGCGAGGTTTTCTTGGGCTTATTTTCGGGGCCTTATTCTTTCTCTAAGAATGTATTTGATTTGTGGGTGGAAAACCGGATTGTCACATCTTGGAGTTTTTATGAAGGTACAAAGCCGTAACGGAAAATGTCAGCTACCGCCGTTGGCCCGTTCAGGGTGCCGTCCGGACTAACATTTGTTTGCTTATAATCCAGAAAGTGAAGAGAAGGAACACACACTGGACAGATGATATACTTCCTGCCACTCACAAATGGGTTTGGTTTTGTTTCAGGATCCATTTTGGAATGAAAGGCTACGTCAGGATTAATCCACTTGAGAATAAAAATAAAAACGGAATTTCTCCTGTGTTGGAAGTACAACTCAGCAAGGATTTGATTTGTTTCTTTGACTCATCGGTAGAACTCAGGTGAAGAATAAAATAAAAGTCCTCCAGCTAAGAAACTCTAAAGGTTGGGTCTACAGTTGGTCATATGTGGAAATAAATGAATTTTTAAAAAATGTTTTGTAATTGATAAAACCTCATTTTTATTTTATTTTTACATATTTTTGTTGATTTCAGGGAGGAATGGAGAGGTAGCAAGAGATAGGGACATTAATGATGAGAGAGAATCATTGATCGGCTGCCTCCTACCTGCCCCCTCCTGGGGATGTAGCCCGCAACCCGACGTGCCCTGACTGGGAATCGAACTGTGACCTCCTGGTTCATAGTTTGGCGCTCAACCACTGGGCCACGCAGGCCGGGCAATATCTCATATTAAAAGAGCCTTCAAATAATATAGTTTGTTAAGTTCTTCATTGCTTGGCTATATAACTTATATCCCAATTAACATGAAGTGTTATTTCTATCCAAGCTCATTTTAAATGAGACTGTGAAGTTGTAACCAGACTTACGGTGAATGTGTCTTTCATTCCTCCCTACAGAGACTCAGCGGAAAGCCAACAGAGGATAAGAATGATGGAAGAATTGGATGTGTGTTCACCTAAATTTAATTTCTCACGAGCCGAAAGGGAAGTGCGCAAGCAGCAGGGACGGATGCTCTGTGACGTGTTACTGGATCAGCGAGTGCTGCCTGGGGTCGGCAACATCATCAAAAACGAAGCTCTCTTTGACAGTGGCCTCCACCCAGCGGTTAGAGTAGGTTACGGGGATTTTAAAATGCTGTCTGTGTGTTTAAACACTTAAAAACCAGCATGGAACCCTTCCATGTGTAGTGTGGTAACATTCTCCCCAAACAGATCTCATGTCAACCTCTCAATGAGACCAACCCTGACCACACCATTTAGAATTGCTGTTGTGCCCAGCTGGTGTTGCTCAGTGGACAGAGTGTCTGCCTGTGGACCTAAGGGTCCTGAGTTCGATTCCAGTCAAGGGCATGTACCGCGGAGGCAACCAATCGATGTTTCTTTCTGCTGTCCCCTCTCCCTCCCACTCTCTCTAAAAATCAATGGAAAAATATCCTCAGATGAGAATTTAAAACAAAAATCCTATATAATAAAGAGGTAATATGCAAATTAACCCCCACACCCTCACAAAGATGGCTGCCTTTGACCAGGCCGGCAGTGGGGTTAGGGAGGGATGACCAAACAACTGAACAAGCAGGCTGCATGGGGCGACCAGGCTGGCAGGGGGGTTAGTGAGGGATGACCAAACGACTGGCCAGCAGGCTGTGTGGTGTGACCAGGCCAGCGGGAGGGGGGCAGTTGGGGGCAACCAGGCCAGCCGGGGGGGCAGTTGGGGGCGACCAGGCTTGCAGAGGGCCAGAAAGAGGCGACCAGGCCGGCGGAGGGGGTAGTTAGGGGTGACCAGGCCAGTAGTGGGGTGCAGTTGGGGGTGACCAGGCTGGCAGGGGTGACCCGGCTGGCGGGGGGCGGAGGGGGTGGCAGTTAGGGGCAATCAGGCAGTCGGGCCTAAACCGGCAGTCGGACATCCCCCAAGGGGTCCAGGATTGGAGAGGATTCATGAATTTCATGCTCCGGGCCTCTAGTTATATAAAAAAAATAAAATAAAATCACTGTTGCATCCCCTTCTCCCAATTCATACTCCCAGACTTCCCTAACTTGCTTTGCTTTTTATTTTCTTCATACCATTTTGATCATGTTCAAACATCATCTGATCTTTACTTGTTATTTTGACTGTTTAAAATCTCTCTCTGCTAGAATGCAGCCTCTTAGGTAGAAGGTGTGTCTCTGTTCACGGGTGTACCCAAGCATGTAGAATAGACCGTCTGGTACACGGTTGGCATTAAAGAAAGATTTGTTGACTGTATGAGTGAACTCAGCTCACAACTTTCTTTTTGTATCTGGAATATTAACTTCACACTCAATACACACTCATGTTTCTGTTTTAAAAAAAACTATATATGTATATTTACTGATTTAAAAGAGGAGGGGAGAGGGAGAGAGAGATAGAAACATCAATGGTGAGAACCATTGATAAGCTGCCTCCTGCCCGCTCCACACTGGGGATCAAGCCTGCAACCCAGGCATGTGCCCTGATTGTGAATCAAACTGTGTGTGACCTCCTGGTTCATTGTTGACACTCAACCACTGAACCACACCAGCCAGGCTCATGTTTCCCATGTATTAGAACAGGCAGTTTTAATGGAATGACAAGAATGGAAGTCAAGTAGCAGAGACTAAAGAGTGAGGGACTAGGGAAAAACAGACCATAATGTGGAGTACTTGTTAAAATAGCTGAATAAAGGGAACATGCTGGACTTCTTGAGGAAGATGTCAGGACAGGGACTGGGTTTTATTGTTGTTTTCTTGCTCTTCACCTGGAGAGACAGGAACTTATTTTTATGTTGAGAGAAAAATACTGGTCGAGTAGGAGACGTTAAAATTGTAGAAAAGAGAAGGGTGATTAGCAAGACAAAGTTGTGAGAAGGTCGGAGAGGTTAGAACCTAAGCCGGGTGGAGGGATACATATATTTTAGTTTCCAAAAAAGAAATCTCCAGTAGGACTTTTAGCCAGACCCAAGTAGTCCCTATTACTAAGTCTTTTTCTTCTTTTTTTTTCACATGACTCCAAAGATACTGTTTTATTTTGTGTAATTATTTCCTGGACAGTCTTCATGAAATCCAAATCAGTAGGAAATACATTTTAAAAGAAACCAGTTAATAATCGTTCTAGGTTAGGTTCTGCTTGCTTTTTCTTTTTTTTTTTTTAATCCTCACACAAGGACATTTTCATTGGTTTTTAGAGGGGAAGGAAGAGAGGAGAGAAAGAGAGAAACATTGATCAATTGCCTCACGCACATGTGCCGACCAGGACAGGGAATCGAACCAAAACCTAGGCTTGTACCCTGACTGGGAATCAAACCCTTGACCTTTCAGTGTATGGGATGATGCTCCAACCCACTGAGCCACACCAGCCAGGGTGGTTTTGCTTTTTGACACTTGAAACAAACTGCCTGATGTGTGTAATATGGGAATAATGACACAGTTCAACAACAGGCTTTTTACAATCACCTACACCTCTATGGAAATGTCTGAAAACAAGACCAAACCCAGAATATCGCTACTTTGACTATCCTTATCATCAATGATAAATTAATTATTTACTTTTTTATCTGTGCATCCAAACCAGCCATTCATCTGGTAAAAGATCATTGGCCCATGATGTCTGAGGGCTTAAAAATTAATGGCATTTCTGAAGCTTAGCTATTAGCCCTATAAAAGCACATGCATACTTATTGAAAAAGCAGTTTAACATTTCAAGGTGTAACCGAATATAGTACATGAGATATAGTCAGAAAAAGATGAACTTTGGAAGTGCCTACGTTCTAAACTCTAAGTAAATAATTGAAAATGTATATGATGCTTTTTTAGAATGATTTTGTTGATTAGAGGGCTTTAAATTTTACAGTCATTGATAAATTAGTTTCTATTGTTTATAGTCATGGATACATTCATACATATGCCACAGGGTAAGTCATCAGACAGTTTTTCTTCTGAAATTACCATGGAAATCACATGTGCCACGTGATGGTTAATCCTGCGAGGGTGACACGGGTTTATGCCAGGCCGTGTCACAGAGGAATTCTGCAGGGCGGTCTATGCCTGAGTTCTTCCATGTGCTAACAAGTCCTTTGATATTAATGCATGTATATATATTCATACCTTCTTAAAGCTTGGCAGTGACCTTGATGGTCACCTACTTCTGGGCCCTTTTTTTCCTCCTTTTCTTTTTATCTCTCTTTTTGCAAACCCAGCAAGACTTTTTTATGGGGGCTGACAGTCCGTGCTGGGACTTTGACAACAGATGTATTCAGATGTATTCAATAAACACTTGAATTAGAACTCAAATTAGAACTTAAATAGGAATTTTTAAAATTTGTAGTTACTAGCATTACAAATAAAACTACTATTGCCCGGCTGGCGTGGCTCAGTGGTTGAGCATCGACCTTTGAACCAGGAGATCACGGTTCTATTCCTGGTCAGGGCACATGCCCAGGTTGAGGGCTCGATCCTAGTGTTGGGGTGTGCAGGAGGTAGCCAATCAGTGATTCTCTCTCATCATTGATGTTTTTCTCTCTCTCTCCCTCTCTCTTCCTCTCTGAAATCAATAAAAATATTTTTTTTAAAAAAATTAAAAACTAAAACTACTGTTAATGACAATAAGTAGATATATGAGACAGAGTTCTAGAATGTGGGGATGTATTTTAAGTCTACGGTTATCTAGAACTGGTGAGTCATACCGTTTTCTATCGTAAGCAAATTATGAAACTCTCCTCAGTCGTTTTTCTATTTTCAGGTTTGTCAGTTAACAGAGGAGCAGATCCAACACCTAGTGAAAATGACACGTGACTTCAGCCTTCTTTTCTACAGGGTAAGATTAAGGCTTTTTCTATTATGGAAAATGTCAGTGTTTTCCCTTTCAGTTCTACCGGGAATGTTAAGGCAGTATATAGCCACCTAGTGGTCAGAGTATGGAAGTAGCGGCGAGTGTCCTGTTAGGGGCCTAATTAACATCTTAAAATTTTAGGTCACAGGTCAGTCTGAACTTACCCAACTATAATTATGTTAAAGTATCTTTATACTACGTTGGGGAACAACTGTGTTAGCATTTGATGTGAACTCTTATTCTATTGTGGGCATATAAAGTAAAATATAGGAAGCCTGGAGAGACTTAATTTCTCTAAATAGCCCTCAGTTCAGTCAGGTTTTGCCACTACTGCCTGTGTGGTTGAGATTATTTAGATGACTTTAAGGTTATCCTTACATTTGTAAAATGGGACCATCGGACTCTACCACAAAGACTGTTTTGAGAATGAAATAAATACCTGCTGAAATATAAATTTTGTGTTGAAGTTATGCATATATACATATATACATATAGAGAGAGTTCAATAAACACATTGTATCTTTTTAACAAAGCATCACAGATACTTTTCTCCACAGTCCATTTTCTGTATTCCAGATTGCTACTTTTACTATGTTCAGAAAGGCTGGTGTTATGGAATTTTTCATTAATTGGCCTAACATATTAATGAACCTCTTGCTTTACATGCTGCCTTGAGTATCTATGGTTGTTTTAATCTATATCTACGCTAATAAAAGAGAAAAATGGTAATTGGCGTACGACGCTACCCTTTTCATTGGCTAATCAGGGCTATATGCAAATTAACTGCCAACTCAGATGGCAGTTAACTGACAACAAAGATGGTGGTTAATTTGCATACGTAGGCACAATGCAGGGAGGCAAAAGGGAAAGCAGGAAGAAGCCCCCTGCCACTGACAGTGATCGGAAACCCAGGGGGGAGCTAAGAGCTGGGGGGCAGGGCAAAGGCCACGA